GAGTTCCTGCCTCAGAGAATTTGGTGAAATGAGTACACCTTGCATCAGGTGTTCAGTGAGGAATATGGGCCAACTGGACTCCGCAGGCCCCCTGTACAGCAGAATTCAACGTCTGCCTACCGCCAGTGAGGCAAAAAGACTGCACGCCCTAAGGAGGCCTTACACATGTGCAGGACACTGGCTTCTCAACTGACCAATAACGAGCCTAGAAGGCTACATGCACACTGCCCTGGCCTCCTCCAAATTGCATTTGCAGGCCTTCAGCCATTACGCATGCGTATGAGCTGCCCGGCTGACACCTGACTTCCTAAGCTAGCGCAGGCCGTTACCGCCCCTTCCGCGCCCCCTCCCAATCCCTGCTCGAGATAACTGTGCGCCGGAGAACACTGCGCAGGCGCGCTACAGAGCGCCCCACCCCAATCATCAGCAGTAGCGCAGAAGGCGGCTTGGAGCTGAGAGGAAATGGCGGGAAGGTCGGAGCCATCGAATATGGAGGCTGTGGGAGCCACGGAAGGATCTGAAGAGGGCGGAGGTAGTGGTGGGAGGCCTCCTCGGGAGCGGGGCTGCAGGCGCTTGGGACGCGGCATCTGAGTGCGTCCCTGCCAGGCTGGTGCGCCAAGCAGGGGCAGGCTCGTTGCCTCTTTGGGACGAAAGGGACTGAAAACGACGGTTTCGCCTTTTTATTCTAAAAACGTTGACTCTTACACAGAGAGGAAAACCCAAAAACACAAACCCACTGCCATCAACGAGATTCCAGCTCACAGTGACCCCCGAGGCGGGAAATGTTTAGGAAAGTAGACTGCCCAGCGTTCCTTATGGGGAGTGGCTGGTGGTTTTGAACCGCCAACCTTGCGGTCAGCAGTCAGATGCCTTAGGCACAGCACCTCCAGCGCTCGTTTTTACAAAAGGGAAGGTTTATCCACACTCCCGGCACCTGCATTTGACTCAGGTGGCCTGCACCGTATTGGCTCCCTCGCGATGCTGCCGAGGTACTGAAGCGGGTTAGTGAGGCTTTCCGTGGGCATCTCTACGAACAAGGAGGCCGTTTCCCTCGGACGGCACGGTCTCACACACAGCCAGTCCACGGCCACACTTCCCTGTTGCTCAGACGGCCTACCTGGGGCCTGGCCCCTGGCTGCTGGCCGCCAGGAAAAGGGAGACGTGCGGCAGGGCCACGGAAGTGCAGGAATTGTGTGACCTGGGAAGGTTAGCAGTCAAATGCCCTTAGGCACTGAGTCACCAGAGCTCTGACACAATTATGGCAGAAATCTAGGTAATGATTTCATTGGGTTTATCACAGTGTCATTTCTACTTTTATTTGTGTTTAAAATTTTTGATAATACAAATTAGAAAGAAAACAGCTACAAACACTTTCCCTTGGCGTTATCAGAGTAGCTTTAATTTTTAAAGAAAGATACATTTCATATACTCTTTAAAAAACTCTAATATTCATTATCACATCTAAATAATAGCAGCAGTAATTCCTTTATTTCATCAGATATGCAGATATGTAGTCATTTTTCAAATTCCCTTTTATATTTTTCATATAAATTTCATAAAATTCATATTTTTTAATAGTGCATTATTTTTGAATCAGGATCCGAATGTAGTCCATTTAGTGCAATTGGTTGATATGTGTCTTAAGCCCCTTTTAATCTGTAAAGGTCTTCCTTTCTCTCTTTTTCTCTCTTGAAATTTCGTTGTTAAATAAATTGGGTTGTTTGCCACTTGGAATTTCCCTTATCTACAGGTTGCTGATTGCATCCTCATGTGTCATTTAACATGTTCCTCTGTCCCGGTATTTTCTCTGAATTGGTATTTAGAACTAGAGGCTTAAATATAAGTTTCACTTTTGTCAGGAATCCTTAATGGGTGATACTGTGTTTTCATAGAATTCCTTTGTTCCCCCCTTGTAGTATTTCATTGGCAAGCTTTGCTATTAACCTTTAACAGCATCAGTAGTGAGGGTGTGCCCTCTTCCTGCCATTCAGTTTTATTAAGGGGGTGTATATCTGTGGTATGGTATCTTTTTACTCTTTAGAGAAAAGATACCCAGTAAAGGGCCCCAGTTCATTTCTTGTGACCTGCTCGGCTCAGGACAAGGAAGGGGTGAACAGCACTCTGGTGGAGACCTCTCTCAGCTTGCTTCACCCCCAGCCAAGGCTGTCCAGCCCATCCTCAGCCTTTCACTTGCTGGTTCTGTGAGTTTTCATTTTGTTTCCACAGGGGAGGCCGAGTCCTCCAAGAAAATTGAAGACTTGCTGGAAATGGTGAAAAAGCTGCAGAAAGGTCACGTGTCTCCTCTGTGTATGAGGCTCAGCTTGGGGTTTGGGACCAGGCAGACATAAGTTCAATTCCCAGACTATTCACAACTTGGGAAACAATCCCATTCACTTTCTTTTAAAATTCAATTTTTTAACAGTATGGCCTCATGGTTCAAAATTATAAAGGCATAGAAGGCAAAAACATTCCCTAAAATCCTGTCCTAGCCCCTTGTTGGCTGCCCATTTGGCTCCCACTGGACTCAGAATTAAATCCAGAAGTTTTCTCATTTGCAACCTCTGCCCCATTTCCCTCCACCTTACCTACTCCGTTGCTCACTGGACTCCTTTCAGCCACATTCACACTTACCAGTCCTCCACCACACACAGATGCAGGACCTATTCTCACTTGATTCGGTGCCTTCAGAAGGCCTTCTCATAGCTAAAGAAGCACTTCCTGTTCCTTCGCTCTTTGACACCTTGCCCTACTTTATTTCTCTGGATGGCACTTAGCACCACTGTCTGACTCAGTGTCCCTGACTGACTGTTCCCTGTCTCCCCCATCCAGAATGTAAACCCCTTGAGGGCCCAACACAGTATCTGCCAGCAGTAGCAGTTGGTGATATTCATATTCAGTGAAGGCAGTAGACAGACAGCTGGTGCCTACCCCACCTCTACCTGCTCTGGAGCCACTCGTGTCACCTGCAGTTCAGTCAATTTTTTCTCTTTAGCAGGAAGCCTGGAACCTCGGGTTGAGGTCCTGATTAACCGTATTAATGAAGTTCAAGAAGGTGAGCTTGAGACCCTCACCTTTGACAACCAAAAGGTGACAACTACATGATTTGCAGGACCCAGTAAAAAATGAAAATGTAGGCCTTTTATTAAAAAAAATCATTAAGAAAAAAAAAATCATTAAGAATTTCAAGATTGAAAGCAGAATATTAAACCAAGCAAGGAGACCTGTGAGACCTGGTCACGTATTCTTTATGCCCACTGTCCTGCCAGCCAATCACAGCAAGAATGGCCTGGGCCCTGAATGGCTCTGTCCTCTTCTACAGAGTCTGGGCCCCTCTAGGTTTGCAAGGGAGAGTGATACTGGTGGCTGCACTCACATGATGTCTGTCCTATCTTTGTCCCAGCCAAAAAGAAAGCCAGTGAGGAGCTGGGAGAGGCCCGGACCCTCTGGGAGACTCTGCAGAAGGAACTGGACTCCAGTAAGTGTGCTGGGGGACACCCAGGGCTTCCCACAATGTTTTCTAGGCCCTGAACCCAATCTTCCAGATACCCAGCGGAGTCCCCTGTCCCCTTTGACAATGCCTTCAATCTCCCACTCCGCTGGTGAGCATGTTCCTGAGATACCTTTCAAGCAGTGTCTCCCTCTGGCCTTTGCTGTTTGCTCACTGCATGTGAAACACTCTGCCCCCTGGAGACTCCAGAATGCTTCCTGCTATCTCATATCACCACCCAAGTCTCATTTCCCTTCTCAGAGAGGCATTACCTGGTGGTTCCATCTGAAGACAGCATCCTGCTGCCTCCACTCCGGTCATATGCCCTCACACTGCTGGACATTTCCTTCACAGCCCTTTTCCCCATCTCTTGTGATGTATCTGTTTCCTCCATGTGCTGTCCACAGGGACCTCACACAACCATCAGTAAATGTCAGGGCCCTTTGGTGCTTACAGGGAAGGTGGGCACAAGGGGGAGGGGCTGGCCTTAAGGTGTCCACTTGAGGGGCTGTGGGCAGGGCTGCAGCAAACCTCCTGGGTGACCATAGGCAAACCCTGTCCCTGATGCCTGAGTGTGTTAATGTTTTCCAGTAAACAAGGAGAAGGTGCACCTGAAGGAGTTCTTGAACGAAAGGAAAGGTATTTGCGGCTGCTTGGTCTCCCCACGGTCACCTTTGCCACCCCCACAGAAACCCACTCCCACCATAGCAGTGGGGTCCCTCTTCACCTGCAACTGGCCTACATCCCTCCCGTGGCCTCCACCAAAGTCATAGAAAATGATAACATACAGTCCATTGCCTACAAAACCTGACATAATCTGACCCGTGATTTCTACCCAGACTCAGTGCCCTTGAAAAGCTCTCATGGGCTCTCTGGTTCTTCTCCCTGCAGAGGCACTGAACGCCCTGCATCTGCACTACCAGGAGACAGACAGTGAGGCACAGAGGTAAGAGACTGTGCTTGAGCTTTGCTCTGCTCCCCACCACCCCTGCATTCTGACAGAGGAGAGAAAGCATGGGCAGTAAATCCAGAGATGCAGTCCTCATGTTCTCCTTCAGTGAAATGGAGAGGCCAGACAAACATCTTCCCTGTTCAGCTCCAACATCAGACCATGGAATTAGTCTAATCATTCATTTACTAGTTTGCCCTCTGAATTCCTTCAACTGGATTTTATTTTGTCACTTTGATTCTTTATCCAGCTCCTCAGCTGTCTATTCACTCATCTGTCCATTGCTTTAGGCATCCAACTCTTCCTGGCCATCCACCCAACTGTGTAATAACCACTCACTCAAACATCCATCTCTCTCCATTGCCTTGCTATCCACCTAACTATCCATTCATTTCTCTGCCTCCGGATTGCTTATTTACTTCGTTTTTGTGACCAGAGGACTCAAGCCCTGAGATGGGAACTGTTCGGGAAAATCTTATGACAATTCATGTGTGTGTGTGCCCGTGCGTGCGTGCATGTGTGCAGACTCAGCCATGGCTATGGTGACCTTCTTAATACTCATAGTGATACTTCTGGGAGGCAAGTACTCATATCACCACCTCACCACCACCACGTTACAGAGGTATAAGCACTGGGCCCCAGTCAGTGAGTGGCAGAGCCAGGACTCAAAGCCAGGCCCATAGAAACTGGTAACCAAATCACATGGGCTGGTGGCAGACAGAACAGCAGGAAGCAGAACTGTCTTATGTCAAGACCCACCCCATCCTCCTGGGGGTCTTTCAGAGAACATGGCTGAGGCCTGCCTTGTCCTTTCCCAGGAAGCACACCAGGTTACAGGAGTGCCAGGACCGAATTTCTGCCCTGAACTCCCAGATTGAAGAAGAGAAAAACAAACAGAGGGAGCTGAGGTAACCCAGGGGCCAGGGTGGAGGGTTGTGTCAGGGATGGGCCCTTGAAAGGAGCAGTGAGCCGATCCTTGGAGGATCGTTCTGGGAAGGTGGGAACGTGAACAAAGGACTTGAGGGGTCTGACCCTGGCCCGGCCATGTGTATGGGGGGTCTTGGCCCACAGCCCCTCATTCTTGTATGGTTGGCCCCCAGGTTGGATTTTGAACAACAGCTGGAGGATCTGATGGACCAGCACAAGGACCTCTGGGAGTTCCATGTGAGTCCCTTCCTCACCCTTCTCAAAGCCATTCCTCCCACCTTCCACATCTTCCTTGGTGGTACCTGTGCAGACCTGCCAAGAGTCATCCTCCATGCCTTCTTCCTCTTACCTGCCACACCCAGTTCCCGACCAGGCCCTTGTGGCCATAAAGTCCAACTGCCCTACATGCAGTTCTTCTTCATCACCTACCTGATCCAGTGTCCTCCTCAGAGCCAAGGTCAGGCATTCATTCTTGGTATTCGTGGGTGTGTCCAGCGTCAGAGGCACAAAGAGACAGTGTTGGTCACCCTGGGCTTTTTCTGTGGGGGGGCTCCCAGACACCAGAGAAGAAAACAAGAGAGAGGATGCAGTGTTTGGTAGGAGTAAGGAATTGCAGTGCTGCGTTGCTGCAGACCCTCCCACCAGGCCAGTTACCCCACACTTGTAGTAGTTCTGCCCATCCCAGTACACCAGGCATGATCTCTCAGGTGAGCATTCATGGCAGAGGAAAGGGCCAGGGCAAAGGCTTTGAGGCTGCAGGCATGCCTGAGGCTGCAGGCACAGAGAGTAGTGGCGAGGGTAGTGCCTTGAGTGGGTAAATATTTGAATGAATGGCC